GGGAGGGGTGAAGCTGATAACAGGCTTCTTGTTTGGCCCTGGAAGGAAGAAAAGCACTGTGCCAAAGTGCAAGTGGCCAACTCCACCCAGAACTATTTGTTCAAGGGGGCACGGCAGCCCTGTAAGAATGAGGGTCTCTGGGGCTGATGATGCTGGTGTAGTACCAATCAGTATGCGTGAAGTCCATAGAAACCTAGTGGTGGCAGCTGTCTGTGATCCAGTAGGGGTGGAGGCAGGAGGATCAGAAATTCAAGATGATCCTTGGCTACTTAAGCCTAGACTACATGAGACCCTGCTTCCAAAAGCAATTATCTTTTATTTGGTTAGTATGTGTGTCATTAACAGGCACAGATTTTTGTTTTTTTGTTTTGGTTTGGTTTTTTTTTTTTTTTTTGGTCAGGCTGGAGATGGACTCAGGGCCTTGCGCATTCTAAACTCACACACTATACAATTGAGCTACAACCTGTTTGTTCGCACAGGTCTTGAAAGTTAGTGTGTACTTCACATTCCCAGAACGTCAGACTAGTGACATTTCAAGTGGTCAGTGGCCCTGTGTGCAGAGGGTACTGCAGTGTATCGTTTTGACTATTGGCTTCTAAAACCTGATACAGGGATACCTTTCTCTGTCATTTAAACTGTCGTTTTTCTTTTTGAGGGAGTGTCTCTTGTGTTTCAGGATGGTTTCAAAATCTTTGAGGATGTCCTTGAACTTTTGATTCTCCTGCCTTCATCTCCAGAGTACTGAGATTATAGCCATGTCTCACTGTGGCAGGTTTTACAGAAAGAGTTCTGAAGGCTTTGTGCATGCTTGGCAAGTACCCTACCAATTGTGCTGTGTGCCCAGTTCCTTACACTTGTTTCTAGTCTCTTTCTTATTATGTTGTTATTTATTGTGTGTTTCTGTATACATGTGTGGGTGCACTATTGACCTGATGTATATGTGTCAGTCAGAGGATACATTACATGAGTCAGTTTCTTTCTCCTACTATGTGAGTCCCAGGGATAGAATTCAATATAGTCAGGCTTGGCAGCAAGCACCTTTAACTGCTGAACCATCTTGCCTGCCCTTACTTTGGGTTTCTGTTCCTTGCAACAGAAAGTAATTGCAACCAGCTCACAAGGAGCTACCCTGCTGCTACAACTGCTAACATAACTGGACAAGGGATCAGAGGCACACAGCCAAAGGGAGTCACTGGCAAAGTTTGCTCTGCGTCTCACATGCACCTTTGCCCAAAGATCTGTGACAGCTCTAAGAGGCTTCATCAGCTTGGCTGTAAGTGATGCCTTCAAGTTCAGAGAGCATGGCGGGTGCTAACATGCCCAGCTGGTGTGTCTTGTCCTGGTTAGGGTGCTTGGTACCCTGCTGCCATCTGGTTTCTGGAGTCCCCCAAGGCATCCACTGAGAGGCCTTGGAACTTAACTGAAGCCCTGCCCACTGCTTCCCATACTCTCCTACAGATGCTGGCCCCTGAGCTCCTGGTAATTCCATAAATGCTTGCACATTCTTCCTCCAGCCAAATCCCAGCTCCTCTGTCCAGGCTACCATGACCTCCTAGTCACCCACTCAAATCATATTCTCAGAACGCAGGCTTCAGAGTCATGAGGACCTCCAAGAGGAACTGGAAGTCCCTTGTGGAACTGATAAAATGGGGGACTCCTGGGGACTCTGCAGGAATGGAGGCCTTATTTTTGTTCTTGAGGAACCCTCAGGTTGATTCTTGGGGCAGACATACATGTTGATCAAGTTTTGTTGTTGTTGTAGTTTTTGTTTTTTCCAGTACCAGGCGAAGAAAAGAATGCTGGGGCTGTGGCCATCAAATGGCAGGGGCCTAGGTGTATAGGCTAGACTCAAGTCCCAGCTGTAGTGTCCACCTTCTGAACCTCAGGCTCTTAGAAGGTGGGAGAATGTGTCAAGAAGATTTCAGCCACTGGGCTGGGGAGGTGGCTCAGTAGGTAAGGGCACCTGTCTCCAAGCCTGATAATCTGGGCTAGATCCCTGTAACCCACTTGCTGGAGGGAGAGAATTGAGTCCCCGAAAGTTGTCCTCTGAAAGCCATGCCCCACTTCTGCAAATAAACTTTTTTAAGTCAATATTCCCGTCTATGGCCGGGCGGTGGTGGCGCACACCTTTAATCCCAGCACTTGGGAGGCTGAGGCAGGCAGATTTCTGAGTTCAAGAGTTCGAGGCTAGCCTGGTTTACAGAGTGAGTTCCAGGACAGCCAGGACTACACAGAGAAACCCAGTCTTGAAAAACAAACAAACAAACAAAAAAATTCCCGTCTATGTTAATCACATACATTTACAAAATAAAGACCAGAAACAGGTGATTCATCTGCATATCTGTTCTCTGTACTAGGCTAATTGTTTCCCCAAAGACTGAGAAGTTAAAAGCTCAAATTCATCATTATCCTCCCAGCAGGATTCAAAAGGCTGCTTTGCCCTCCGGAGAGAGAACTTTTGTGGTCACCTGCCACACACTTGGACAAAGAATCCACATTCCTCCACCCCTCAAGCTTGTAACAACACAGAAAGTAATTCTTTTATTTATTTATTTATTTATTTTTGGTTTTTTGGGACAGGGTTTCTCTGTAGCCCTGGCTGTCCTGGAACTCACTCTGTAGACCAGGCTGGCCTCGAACTCAGAAATCCGCCTGCCTCTGCCTCCCAAGTGCTGGGATTAAAGACGTGCACCACCACTGCCCAGCCAGAAAGTAAATCTTATTATTCCTAGTTTTAGGTTCTTCAGGCCTGGATCCTAGATCCTGGATCCTGGTTTCCACCTCAGCTTGCTGTCCCGAGGGGCTTTTCAATGGTCTTTGTGTTTGCTGGTTCCCTGAGGGGCTTGGATGCCAAAGACAGTTTGTCTCCAACAGATATATTTTAGGTCTGGGACCAAGGAAGAGTCTTTGTGGTACCCTACAGGGATGAGTCCTGTCTAGCATTATGTCTGTGATAAGTCTTAAAGGAGCCCAGTTGGAAGGGAAGGGGTGAGAACCAATACAGAAACTTGGTACAAACAACCTGGGGTAGATTAATCCCCACACAGGTCACATCTGACAGCTCAGCAGTGAAGTCTGAGCTCTCTTTGTGGATTCCCTTTCTCCAAGCCTTAGGGCTTGATGTGCGCCTGGGGGGCATTCCTGCAGTCATCCCTGCTAGGCTAATCAACTTCACTGCCACCCACCCACACCCTGGAGAGCTTCAGAGTCACGGTCCTCCTCGAGTCCACATCTCAACCCCACCACACACACGTGGATCCCATAATAGTTTTTACTTTCTCAATAACACTTCCCTCTGTCATCTTCTGCTTGCCCTCTTGCGTTACTAGAAGGATAGGAGCCTCTGGAAGGGCTGACTCATTGGCATTACCCTAGGGTGCCCTCCTCTTGAAAGCATATCTCTATTCTGGTTCCTAATGGAGAACTTAGTGGTCAGGATGTTAATTACAGAATTCTTTAGTATCAGTATCTGGGAGAGAGCTGGGAAGGGGAGAGGTGATCACTTTCCAGTTTCTTCCATGGAGCTTTGGAACTAAAATGGCCTGTGTGATAGCTACAGGAATGATGCCCAACCCCTGAGACATGTGACCTCCAGGAGCATCAAGAGCAGCAGAGGTGATCCCTGGAGAGGCAGACAAGGAGTGACCCAAGGGTTTCTCACAGAGCAGCAACCTGTGGCTGGTGAGAGGACGGGGCCAGCACAGGAAGAGGACTTGTGTGTCTACGCTTGCAGGCCCAGGGAGTCTCTTCAGACACATTCAATTACTTCCCGTAAGCAGAACAGATGCCTTACTGAGGTCTCAGACACTACCCTGTGGGTTCGCCTCTAGGAACTGTGTACCTTTCTACCTGCCCATCTGCCCATGGCCTACTGTTCACATTCAGCCAGACTCACCTTTCCAAAAGCAAATTATAAACAACATTCAAAATCTTAAAGGGGCAGAATTGTGGCAAGCACATCGGCACAGGTCCTTGCTGAGTCGCATACCCAGACTCCCATGGTAGAAGAAAAAGAAATGACTCCTGCAAGTTGTTTAAATTCCACACACACCAAGATACAGTGCCCCCTACACACACACACACACACACAGAGAGAGAGAGAGAAAGAGAGAGAGAGAGAGAGAGAGAGAGAGAGAGAGAGAGACTTAAAAACAACCCTAGTGAAGGAAGTGGAAAGAGAGCCCTGCCTCTGTTTCTGACACCTGGATACTTCATCCCAACTCCTAAACTCTTCTGTATGTCACACAAGCCCAGTTTGTCAAAGCAGGGTTGTCACAAACCTGTGGTATCTGTCTGAAACTACTTTCTTTTCAGATGCTTCCTAGGCACATCCGACTCAGACTAAGAACTAATTCTGGGCTCTAAGTAAGAGGCCCAGGCGTCTCTTTTAAGTTTATTTTACTTTTATTATTTTATTTTATAGAAAGGTCTCCTGTATTTCTGTAACTGACTGTGTAGCAGAAGATGACCTTGAACTTCTGATCTTCCTGCCTCTACCAGTGTTGGGATTAGAGATCTGTTCTATTACATCTGGGCTTAGAGCCTAGGGCTTTGTGTATGCTAGGCAGCTTTGTGTATGGTACGCTAGGTGAGCTAGTCATGGAGTTAAAGACAAGTAAAAGCAACAGGGAAAAAAGGCTATAACATCAGTGTTCAGTGCAAGGAAAAACACAAACGTTAAGGGAAGTGCTTAGGTACTCCTGGCCACAATCGAGCCCTGAGCAACCGCCTTGAGCTCAGCGTGGAAGCTGAGAGGCGAGTAGGCCACAGTGAGAGTGGCTGTGTCCCCAGGGTCAGTGACCAAGCAAGGACTAGCTCCCAGAAAAGCACAGCTCAGGCAGGTGCGTCTCAGCGCCGCCCTCCCACCGTGCTAGCCGTGGGGGCGGGCCTGCGATAACCACGCCCACCTGACAGCCTATAAAAGGCGCCGGCCGCAGCCCACTCGGGTTCGAGTGCTGCTTTGGGGTGGACAGCGGCCAGGGTCGCCGCGTCCAGCTTAGTGCCACGCCCCGGCCGGTGCTGTGAGAGCCTCAGCCATGCTGTTCTGGCACACGCAGCCCGAACACTACAACCAGCACAACTCTGGCAGCTACTTGCGGTAAGACGCGGCAACACCTGCCTACGATCGGTCTGGGCGCTGACTGACCAGTGAGGCCTCCAGGGAAGGGCCCTGTGGGACACCCCTGGGGTATGATCGGGGAAGAGGCGCGCTGATGCCCGCGGGGTGCCCCTCAGAGGTCTCCAAGCCGCTCGGTGTGTTCCCGGCCGGGTCTCGTAGCCTTCCTTCTCCCTTCTCCACTTCAGTCGGAGAAATAAACTTGCCTTATCCATCAGGAGCTGGAGTGTCCCGGGAAGCCATGCCCCAGCTCTTTGCCCACAGGTGGATAGCGGGAGCGGGTCTGCGCTGCAGCCTGAGGGCTCGGGCTTCAGGGATTGGCCGCCCCTGGCCCCGGTGAGCTTAGTATGGCCCCCAGGCCCGGGCTTAACCGAAATCTTCTCTTCTGTGGGGATTTTGCTAGCGCGCTTCAAGGGAAGAGGGTCCCGCGGGATTTTGCAAAGTTCTCTGAACTCCCTCTTTTAGGAAGTAGAACCTCCCCCACCTCCCCACTTTGCTTCAGTGACTACGGGATTCGGGATTCTCCCCCCCCCCCCCCCACTGTGGTGCAGCTGGCTGGAGGGCTAATAAGCAGGCATTTATTTTTCTGAACTCGCCAGAACCAGCTTCAACCTGTCTTTATTTCCATCCTAGTCACAGTTTATTATATGTGCCTTACTTACCCCAAAGGGTGTTTGATGTGGGCTCAAGAAGGCATCTCAGGGGCTGTCAGCCCTAACTACAGAACCTTAAGTGCTTCTTTGGACCCCCCCCCCCCCCCAGGCGTCCCTCGTGGAGTTTTTTATTTGTCCTTCCGGGCTTCTGAGGATTGGCCAGGTTTCACTGGTGTGTCTTCAGGGTTTGTTGTTGTTGTTGTTGTTTTGGTTTGGTTTGGTTTTAAAAACCAAGCCAAAACAACACAACAACAACAACAACAAACAACTCCAAACCATCAAAAGTGGCAATCAATCTAGGGTCTTGGGACTGCAGACCCGGTGGTGTTGAGGTAATGCAAAGCCCACAGTTAAAATGCTACAGAATAAATATATGCTAACTGTATAACACTCTATAGGGTTACCTGCAGTTTCTTTTGGATTATAGTGAGTGGCCATTAGGTATCTATCTTATCCTATCTTAAAAATGAAGTTGAAGGTGACCTTGAGCTGAAGTAATCGTATTTGAAATCTAGTTGCGTAAAACATCATCCTTGTTAGAGGAGAAGTGTGGTTTTTGTGTCTGTGCCTGAGATGGAAGTTTGTGAGCCAACCCAGGTACTTTTAAGATTTTGACTAAGCATGAAAGGAGGAAGGCAAACATTTGAGGCTGAGAGCCACCACAGAGCAGCACTGTTTCTCTGGGTGCTTTGAGGAAGCAATGGATAAGGACAGGCCATACTCCCCACTGGAAGCTGGTGGTGGTTTTTTTTTTGTTTTTTGGTTTTTTTTTTACCTTCAAGTAGTTTGAACTCCTTGAGCCTTGTGTCCTATGTTAATGCAAGGATATTTTTCTTTTCTTTTTTTCTTTAAAGAATTTTAAATTTTATTTTTATATTATTATTATTGGTTTTGTTGTTGTTTTGTTTTTTTTGTTTTTGTTTTTTGTTTTTATTTTTTGCAGTGCTGGGATGAACCTTGGGCCTTACACTTGTTCTTCCATTTGATAACTTCCAGCTCTCCTTTTCTATTATTATAATTTTTTGTTCTGCTAGAAATTCTGCAAGCCATCTGATTTCAGTGAACAGTGGGTGGCCTTTAGTCCCTCCCTTTCCTTTCTGTTTGATGTTCTGGTGACTTTTATTCCTTGGCAAATAAGGACACCAGGCCAGAAACAAGTTGGGGTTGAATGATGGCTCTTAACACACACACCCCTCTTTTTTTTTTAATTTAAAAGTAACAGTGCATGGGTTATTAACTTACATGGTCTGGGCAAACATGAAATTATGCAATTCCCAGGGGAGCAGGATGGCTTACTTCTTTCCGTGCTCCTTAATAACTGCCCAGGCTGGAAAAGGGGAAAGATTTGCTTCTGGCGAAGGTGAAGCTGGCCAGCCCTGTATTCTCTCTACCTTGGGCAACAGACAGGAATAGCAGAAAAAATGCCACACAGGGAATGTCTCCCAGGTGTGCCCAAAGGCAAGCTTTCTGAGAATTTGTTAGATCCTGTTGGGGTGTGTACTGGGTTTTATTTCATGGACACTCATTTATGATGCTGTACAGGGAACACATCGTACTGGTAACAGTGCAGTGAAGCTGGGTCAGCTGATCTGATTCATGGCCCAGACCCATGATGGGAGGAGGGTCATCAAGATAGGGCGGGGCATCTTTTGGTAGTTGTTTCTGTGACAACATAGTTTAGAATCTTTAAGGAAGTCTCACCTACCTGTAGGTCATTCTGCTCCTCAGGGATTTTATTGTCCTTGTAAGGACACCCATCTGAAGTCCCAGCAGGCTGAGGTGGGACAGCTCCTCGAGTCTGGGCGTTCAAGGCTAGCCTGGGCAACATACTGATACCCTCTTGAAGTCTAAAAACAAGTTCCTCTGTCACAGGGTGACTGGAGACTGATGTGTCATGTATGTGATGGTGTGTGAGCATTGTGTGTGTGTGGGGGGGCGCGGTGTTTGTTTTCAGACAGGGTCTCATTAGGTAGTCCCAGCTGTCCTGGAACTCACAGAGATCCACCTGTCTCTGCCTCCTAAGTGCTGGGATTTAAGGCGTGGGCACTAGGGCCACCGAGTAGCCTTCAATTATTGTTCCTCAGATATCATGCACTTTGTGTTTTGAGGTTGGAGCTCCTACTGACCCTGAACTTGACAGACAGACTAAACTGCCTAGCCACTGAGCCTCAGGGGTCATCCTGTCGCATCTCTCCAGCACACACTAACCACACTCAGCTTTTGTAGGCCATGGCCTCTGGGATTGAAGTTAGGTCCTCGTTGTAAAGCAAGTGCTTTACAGGCTGTCTCCCAGTCCAGGGCTGATGTTTTTGGTGTAGGGAACATTATTTAGAGGTGAAGGAAATATTTTAAGATTTGCTACTTGGGTAAGAAAACTGAAATCAAGGTTTTCTATCTTCATAGTATTTTGGAGAGTTCACTATGAGCTTTAAAAGGGGGAGCTACAGACCTGCAACATGGCTCAGCAGGTAAAAGGTGTTTGCTGCCAAGCCTAGTGACCCGGGTTCAATCCCAGGAGTCCACATGGAGGTAGCAAGAGAGAACCAGCTCCCAAAAGTTGTCCCCTAATATTGATGTGTGTGTGCACGTGCTGAGTGTGCACTTGTTCACATGTACATGTGTCTGGGCGCGCACATGGAAGCGCACATACACACACACAAATATTTCAATAAATACATACTAAATACATGTTAAACTAAAACAAGACAGGCCAATCATCCCCTTTTTGGAAGAGATGAAGGTGTGTGTCCTTGTGAGTGAGGAAGCTAATGGCTCTTCAGTTATGTAGTCTATAGTTATGATAGACTGCCAACTGTTGATACATAGAAGAGTTGATTCAAGACTAAAAGTTGAGGCTGGGGAGGTGTGTAAAGGTGCCAAGTTTGATGACCTAGGTTCAGTCTCTGGGACCCACATAACAGGGAAAACCTGAATTTTGCAAGTTGTTCTGTGACCTACACACACACACAAACACACTCAATAAATAAATAATGTAAAAAAGGAATAAAATAGTTCAGATGAATGTCCTGGAAGATGTTTTGTGTGATTGCTTACAGATAGAAACGAGGTGCCCACGGCTAGGGGTATATAGTTACACTTGTCTGCATGGACACTGTTCTGGATTCAGTCCCTGAGCATTGTATCCCTCCTCCCAGAAAAAAAGGAAAAAAAAAAAGAAGGAAGAATAAAGTCACTTGCTGCTGGTTTGTCACTTAGGTTTTGGGAGGTAGGAGACAACTTTACACTTCCGTATTTCTTCTAGCCGTTGGGTGAACAGCTCTCATGAGAGCCAGTGGATGAAGCTAGGATCATACAGTAATGATTACATCTAGGATTTGGGCGTGTGGATGCGGAACTAGGCCAGCCAGCATGTCACGACGGACTCTGAGGCTGTCTTTGCTACCATGACCTGCATCTACCTTGCCCAACATTGCTCTGTGTTCCTGGGCTTTGTTCCTGACTACTGCTTCCTGTGTTTTACAGTGATGTGCTGGCTCTGCCCATCTTCAAGCAGGAGGAACCTCAGCTATCTCCTGAGAATGGGGCCCGCTTGCCACCCCTACAGTATGTGCTGTGTGCCGCCACCTCTCCAGCGGTGAAGCTACATGAAGAGACCTTGACATACCTCAATCAAGGTAGAATTGTAACCTGGGCATAGGGGACAAGTGGGATAGTTAGCAGAAGATGTACAAGACCCTGTTGGGCCTCTTTACCTGTGACTTGGGACTAGGAGTCAGGTGCAGGGTTAGATTCTGTGGGTTAGCTGTATGACTTCCCAAGACCTACATGACTCCACTGGGTAACTGGAATGGAAATACTGAAAACTGAACTGGGAGTGATCATGTGAGCCTGTAGTCCTACTCCATATGCTGAGACAGCCTGAACAATAGAACGAGACTCTTGAGAAGGGGGAAGAGAAGAAGGGAGGGAAAGCCAGGAGTGGGTCATCTCATAACACTCCTCACATGCCTCCCAAACTCTCTAGTTGATGGTTGCTATTACTGTTTGGTGCTTTTCATATCTGGTCTGCTGTCTTTACGGAATAACAGCTGGCCCATGTCCTCCCCAGCTCAGAATCTGGCTTGCACCTGCCAGAGAGCAGCTGCCCTTGGTGGCTCTAGCACGGTGACCTACTGTTTCTTCTCAGAGTCTTGATCTTTTTGTTGTGTAAAAGGAGGAAGTCTGATGGGGGGGGGTTGTTTAAAGGGGTGAAGGTAAGTGGCCTGCCTGGCTGACTTGATGACAGTTGTGCAACCATCAGCCCTTCCAGTCTTTCTTGTGTTTTTAAGTTGGAGCCTTGCTATGTAGCCTGTATTAAGATGGAACTCAAGATACTTCTGCTTCAACTTCTTTTTTGTTTGTTTGTTTGTTTTGTTTTTGTTTTGGGTTTCTCTGTGTAGTTCTGGCTGTCCTGTAACTCACTCTGTAGACCAGGCTGGCCTCGAACTCAGAAATCCGCCTGTCTCTGCCTCCCAAGTGCTGGGTGCTGGGATTAAAGGCTCTGCTTCAACTTCTAAGTGCTGAGACTGTAGGCTTGTACTCTGTCTAGTTTTTAATACTCCTTTAAAGTCTTTCTGTTATGTCTATGTATGTATGTATGTATGTATGTATGTATGTATGTATATATGTGTGTGCATGATTATATATGGTGTGTGTGTATATACATACACTTGAAGTCAGGGGCTTGTTCTTCTCTTTCACTATGTAGAATTCAGATCAGTGACTCTTACATCTCTCCACCCCATGTTCCCCTTTTTGAGTGTTTCAATTGTCAGACACCCCAGCGGTACCTTGGTGGTTAGAACTTTGTTGGTGTCTGTTCTAATGATGGGAAGGTATTTAGCACTGTCTCCTGGATTGCCTCATAAAGAATCTGATTCGCACTGCTATGGGTTGGAATCTGGGAGGGGCAGCCAAGCCCTTGCAAAAGCTGCCTCCATTCTGTAGAATTGCCTCCTGGATTTGACCTTGCTCATGTCTAGAACTCATAACAAATGGAAGTGGCTGGGCTACCTCTGTGTGGAATCTGCCCCTGTCATTGATGGACTGTGCTCTGTGGGCTGCATGCTTATTACTCCTGTGGTGGCTTGTTGGCCACTGATAGCAGGTGACAAGCCAACTGGAAGCAGTCCCTTGTGTTTGCAGTGACTTCTGTCATTGTCCTCTCTTGTTGAAGGTTAAATGCTGCCAGCTTTCTCTCTGAGCACTCTCTTTCCTCACGGTCTCCTCATCATTCTCCCCCCCACTCTCCTTCCTGATTCTTGTCTAAACTTGGGAGTGAACTGATGTGGGACTTATTTGGGGCCATGTTTCAGAGAGCTGATGAGTGAGCGGTGTGAGGTGTTGAGGCTGAACAGGGACACTGTGTGTCTGTCCCCTTCACCATCTTAAGGCTTTCTTTGGTTGTGTTCACCATGCCCCTCCGCTGTTATTTAGCCAATGTTAGAAGGTTGTTTACTAGCATATGAGGTCTTACAAACACATTTAAAAGAACATCCTCCTCTCCATCGTAGATGTTAAAAGAGGGAAAAGGGCCCACTCTGAGGTTCTGTCCATCTCCTTGGGTTAACTTAGTATATTTCCTGGGTTTATTATTTTACAACAATAGAATTGAACCCTTGCACAATAGCCTATCGTGCAAGGCTTCTATCACAGAGCCATACTCCCTCTATCCCTAGATAGTGTTGGTTATGCATTCTTGTTCTTTGATATTTTGAGACAGGGTATCTCTGATTCCAGGATTCTCATAGAACCCCACTGAGCACTCCATATTGGCTTCTGGTCAGACAGAGGCCTCTTATCTATTGTGAGAGTTTGCAAATGCACTGTCTTGACTAACTAGTAAAA